TTTAGTTTAATTTAGGCTTGGTTTAGTTTAGGTAGGTTTTGTTTCTGTTTTTTAAGTTTTGGTTTAGATTTAGTATAATTTAGGTTTAGTTTAGGTCAAGAAGAAAGAAGAAAGATGAAAATAAGAAGAAGAAGAAGAAGAAGAAGAAGAAGAAGAAGAAGAAGAAGAAGAAGAAGAAGAAGAAGAAGAAGACGAAGAGGAAGAAGAAGAAGAGGAAGTAGAAGAAGAGGAGGAGGAAGAAGAAGATTAGGGGTGTGTCACCGACGAAACCGGGTCGAGGATCTGGGTGCGTCATCAACATAACCGGGTCGAGGATCATTGGTCACTGAGGGGTCGAGGGTCGAGGCAGAGGGTTGTGGATCGCCGGCTGCCGAGGGGATAGATGGTGGAGTCAGTGGGTCATGTCGGTCCCGACTCCATCGCCCTTGCCGAGAATCCCTCGGTCCGAGTGCTGACCCGTCGACCGTGCGTCGCCATACCAGAGGGCGCCCGGGGATGAGCGGGTTATAAGGGGGTTCCTCGATGTCGATGGAACCTTAAATAGAAGTATCGTCGGTGCGATATACATGTGGTCATCGGTGTCGAACACTACATCCACGTCCCACAAGTGACGCCGGCGTCCGGCATTCTGCAGCAACAGTCCTCGGGGTCGATGGCGGTCGAACACCTATGCGAATTTGTCTTGCAGCCTCTGGGATGACGATTAAAAGCCAAGTGTTGAAACTTGAAACACCCAAACTAACTCAAGTCAGTTTGGTTGTTTGAAGTTTCAAAACTGGCTTTAATCCTCATCGCAGAGGCTGCCAGACAAATTCGCTAAGGTGTTCGACCGTCATCGCCCCCCCAGAACTATTATTGTGGGACGCCGGGCGTCAGCGTCACTTGTGGGACGTGGATCTAGTGTTCAACCCGAGCGCCACATGTATCTCACGCCGATGATACTTGCTATTTAGGGTTCCATCAACGCCGAGGAGCCCCCTAACCCGCTCGTCCTGTTGTAAATATTTAGTTAGGTTGACGGAAAAAACAATATTGCTATGTTATTCATCTTTTGATTTAAATGTGCAGTTTTTCGTCGCTGCGAGGGTCTAGTGTTCGACGAGCTCCACCCCTGCGTTCGTGGGTGAGCACAAATGACATCTCCTCCTCCCCCCCCCCCTTCATTTGCTCTATTCCGGTCTTCGTGCCGATGAAATTTGCCAGATATATGTGTCTTCAATCATCAGTATCCGTGACCACTATGCGTCTCCCATTCGAAAGGGTTACATCTATAAATATGCATGCATTTGCATATTTATAACCGTGATTCTTTTGAATTGTCCAACGTTATCCATGGACAGCCCGAGTATGTGAAGATTGAGTTCATTTTCCCATATGCTCTGCTCCGGATCCGAAGCAAAGCATATACTAGAGCCAGGACCTTGAGCCATCCGATGCCGATTATACTATTCCCAGATTTGTCATCCTGTTGCAGAGTTTCTTCCCTTGCTCCCTCTTCCCAGTTCTTGGCTTTATTCCTCGATTCGGTTATGATCGTCTGCCGGTGGACTTCTGATACAGCAAGACCGCCGATGTATAAAAGTTCGTGCGATTAGGTGCAAACGAGCAAGGTGGGACTATTATTTTGCAGCAAAAGCAGACCACTGAGTTGGTGGTGAGCCTGGTCATTAGTTCGATACTCGTGGCAAGATTTTTTCGCATATTTTTTCTTTAGAAAAAGAATTGTGGACCAGGCCCAGTACAACACATGCGGGTCATAGGGGACGGGCGAAACTTTATTAGTGATATATATATGGTGGACAGACGAAAATTGTGACGATCAAATTACGGTGGTAAGAAGCAATAGCCTCTTTATTAGTAGGTATAGATATAGATATAGACTAGTAAAACGGTCGTGCATTGCAACGGGAGAAAAAAATAATCATAATCTTCAATGGCCATGACCACATTTTGCTGCATTACCGAGACACACTATCAATCCTAATTTCGAGAAATCATGAAGAACTTTTGAAGTCATGAACAATTTTTAAACTCATGCACATATTCGAAATGATGAGCATTTATTAAATTTGTGAACACTTTTATAATTCTTCAAACATTCTTTAAAATCAAGAACATTTTTTGAATTCATGAACATTTTCTACCATGTGCAAACATTTTTTAAAAATTATGGACATTTTTTAAAACAATTTTCTTGAATCAACGAAAATTTCTAGAATCAACAAACATTCTTTTGGAAATTGGTGGAACAGTTTCTAGAATTCGTGTACATTTTATTTATTTAATGAACAATTTTTTGACTTAACTAATATTTTTTGAAATGCATGATCATTTTTTGAATAAGCGAACATTTTATGAATGAATAAACTATTTTGTAAGTCACAAACAGTTTTTGAATTTTTAGGATATTTTTTTCCTTGAAGAACATTTTCTGAATTGTCTATATTTAGTTCAATTTCACTAACACTTTCTAATACACAAACATTTTTTTAAACCATAAAAAATATATTTTCCAAACATTTTCTTTCAAAACTTTTTAGACATTTTTGAATAAGCAAGCATTTTTTTATAAAATCACGAACATATTTTGAATCTACAAATATTTTATGATTTATTAAGCATTTTGTTTCAAAATTGTCATTTTTTTATTTTTCGGAATTTTTTGAAGTCCCAAACATTTTTCGGAACTTTTTTTCATTTTTTTTATTATTCTCATATTTGAAGTCGCAGGCGGGAGAATCCCATGTGTGAACTTTTTTTATTACTTGTAGGTGGCATCGATGGGTAATATTTTGCAATTTTAAGGGCATTTTTCGTGATGTACCGCCAGAATCAATAACCCCTTTATTATTAGGTAAAGAGGTATAGATAACTTCGGTAGGTAAAATATTATGTTATTTGCACATAAGTTATCGCTGTATGTTTCAATAACTCCTCACGCCCCCACCCACATCGCCAAAGTTATCAGGACCATGGTACATAACCTATCAGGTCTGCAAATGTGTGTGTTATCAT